GTTTGGACTTGCTCAACATCAGAAGCTGATAATTGCCCTGCGGGGCAATTTTGAGGAAGAGGGGGAGGCCTAGCACTATCATAGTGCGTCTGAAGAATCTGTTCAGAGAATTCAACTCAAGGTGGAGATTGGTTGAATGCCTTGAATCGGACCGGTTACAACAGAAAGGACGGGGGTCTCGCTGTATGTTGGGCCCAAACCTTTTAGGGCATAGCTTAGCACTATAAATAGACGCTATGCAAACCCTATTCTGTATTTAGTTTTTGCCTCTCCATAATAAAACTGCTCCCTCTCTTCCCCATGGACGTAGCCAATTAATTGGTGAACCACGTAAATTTATTGTCTTGTTTTTCGCATTTATATTTTCTCGTATTATCTCGAATTCCGCACAACAGGAGAAAACAAATATTTTTAGTTTACATACAGAAATAATTAAAACAGAGCCCTTCCTAGAAGGTAACTGCGTAAAATAGTTACTCATCTAATATCTGTAACAAATATTAGTTTTACGTATGAGAACTTACTGAAATAGAACCCTTCCTAGAAGGTGGATTTGTAGATTAGTTACTCAACTAATATTTGTTAATTGTAACTTCTAAGTTCTATTTAATAAATTTGAAGGTTTTAACATTCATTAAAGTTTCTTTTTATAAAATTATTGTATTTCATTTTAATTTTAATATATACAAATAAATATATACTTAATTACTAAACTAACTTTAAAATACTTAATTTTAAACGTGTAACTTGACATTTGAAATTTCAAGTTTACATTACTTTAAAATATTTAAAATACAAATTTGAACTTTAATACTTCAAAGTTGAAACTTGAAATTTGAAAATTGAAGCTTGAAATTTGAAATTTCAAACTTCAAATTTGAAAATTTAATTTTAAATTTAAAAGTTAAAAGTGAAAAGTTAAATTTAAAATTTATTAGCTAAAAAAAATTAATTTCATTACAAATAAATAAGTATTTGAAAATTTTAAAAAAATCCCCCATCCCGTCCCCCCAAATCCCATCCCACCTGCATATATAGTGGGACATGATGGGACCTATTTTCATCCACCCAATCCCGGTCCCGCTCGAAATCCCCCTTCCCTGTCCCCTGTCCTGTCCCGTCCCCGTCCCCTTGCCAGGATTAGGTGTAAACAATCGTGAATTAGTATAAAACTCAACGAATAGTTTAGGTATTTTAGTAAAAAACTGTTTCAACGAAGAGTTTAGGTGTAAATAGTTTTCACTCAAGCAACTATTACGGTTCAAATATTTCATTCAAACAAAAACAATATTAACAAGATAAAAAGCCCGCGACCTTAACACATCCACTCGCTCGAACTACATGGGTAGGATTAGGTTTAAGATTCACTCTCTCGACCTTAAACCATATTAACCCAATACCCATAAATTATTTGTCAAAAGATTTGGTCCCAAAAAAACCTTTCTCCAACAAGCTAAAATAAAAGTTCCATTTGCACCTAAAATTCATAAATTAAAACTCAGCTAATGATTAGACCAAGATTAAAGCAACAATTTCATCATCAAATAAAAATACCCATACGAGAATTCGAAAAATAAACATCACCCCAATAATTGGAGTTTTAGCTACACATCATAAAATTAAAGGTAACCTAATGCATTATCCATGACGTGGGTAAGAGTCTCCAATCCTTTATAATGATTCTAATTATTAAATTCAAAAAACCATTTTTAAAATCCTCCAAAATTGAACACAAAAATCAAGAGAAAACTCTAAGTCTACAATGAGAATGGTAATATATGGGAGACAACTCCTCAAAACTACATTTAAAATCCTATTTATAGTTTCCCAAAATTAAAATTTAAAGTCCACTTAGTAGATTAAGTTGCGCAACGCCAACCCGATTGGTGATCCATCGAGTGTCCTCTTCCATCGCAATTTTGCATTGGCTTTCAGCATCTCAGATCCTATAACTTTGGGTGATACAATTTGTTATCACAGAACTTATCGACGATCTTCTTACTGACCGTTTCTGCCAGAAACTTGGTTCTTACCTCGAGCTGGTATTCTAAAAATTTAGGTGGGATGAATAAGGAACTCGGCGGTGAACCAAGTGGTCGTTGCGATCTCCAGGGTTGCGTTTTCTTCACTTCTTCAGCTCTACAGTTTCTTTTTGGCTGGTTATGTCCTTGCCTTGCTTTTTAATTTTCGTAGTTTTAAATAAACACTTTAACATCACTTTAGAGAACAAAATAGGAATTTGAAGACATTAATACTACTACAACAAAGTCCTACATGATTCTGAATCTCGCACTCATCATACTACAATAGATAAATCACATTAAATATCTATGGTCTTAGAAACACTAGGTCTAAACAAGATATGAAAAATTAGGAAACTTCCTGAAATCTAGGGACCTATAGGATACAATGAATCAACTAATAAAATTCCACATAAACGAAGACGAAATTTATGAAGAAATCCTTTGGATTTTGGGGCTGAAATTTTAAAAAAACATTGTTTCTTGTTCTTGGGAGGTTTGGTAGAATATTTCTCTTCTTTTTGCTCAAAGTGTGGATGATTTCTGACTAATATGACTAAGTTATTAGGCTTATATTGGATAAAACAACAAAGTTTAGGAATTAAACAACAACAGTTTAACATCCCTAACACCTTCAAAAATACCTACATGACCCTAACTTAAAAGTTTATATAGGTCATCCATGGAGGGACATACGAACCGTCGTTTAGACCTCAAACCGTCGATTGTAGTCGTGGTTCCTGGTATGCCTTACATGGCTTCATTAAAACGAGAATAACTTTTTTACTCATATCTGGGATTTTTTCAAACTTGGGGTAGTACGAAAGAGGATTAATTTATCATTGGTTTAATAGGTGATGGGCCACCTAAGTTATTTTCTGCTTAAAGAATGAGCATTTAATGTTGACTCAACAACCAATCCCCTCAAATTTGTTGATTAAGCTAACCTACATACATTCCTATGGTCCGTAGGTATATCCACGGACTATAGTGGTCAAACCTGGGTGTGATCAGACAACATCAATATTTTGGCTTTAACGACGGAACCTCACCTTCAATCTATGGTTCTACTGATGGTTCGTAGGTGGTTACGTCAATACTGACACCTATTTTTCAAAAAACTATGAATTTCTTCATTTTGAGTTTTGAGGTGTTACAATGCGATTCTTCACCTCTTCTTAGAAGGGATATATTTGGATTCATTTTCACGATATCATCTTATACCCCAAACAAGGTATAAGTTGGGCCCTTGCAACGTGCAACGGGAGTTGTATAATTGTTAGGATCATAAGTGGTTGCCAGTCATACAAAATCCTTTTACAAGTATATAAATAATAAAAATGTATTTTTATATATCACTTACTATATTGATGTTAGAGATGAGAAAGTATTTTGTAAAGCTTTAAATTATTTAAATATTTTATTTTCTTTATATTCATGTTGAGTACAATAATATCTATTACCATTCTTTCTTTCAGTTATTTGTTGTTCAACTATATTACATATTGGTATATTCAATGTACTGATTTCATTAGACCGACATCTTTTAATGATGCAGATATTGGTTCTTAGGATCCTCAACAAGAGTCCGTTGAGATCACTTCTTCTGCTCGCCAGCTTTTGAGTAAGAACTTCTTGCTTTTGGAGGACTCCAACTTTAATGAGTTGTTACTGGTAGTTGTCTTGAGGAGTCGTGGATCATATCACAACACTTCTTCTTGCATAGATTAGAGGCTTCCTAGTTAGATAGTTTTGTAGAGTTTTCAATTAAAGACATTTTATTTAGAACTTATGCTTTATACTCAGTATATTAAACGAAGTTTTGAGATTCAGTTAACTGTTATTAAACAATTCTTTCAATTGAATGGTTATGTATGGTTGAGTTAGTTTTATACTTGTAGTCATCAAGGATGAGGGTTCGCTTGAGGGGTAGATATTTTTGAGTTTCGGCCATGTCAAGGGTGTACTCTCGGGTCGTGACAAATTTGGTATCCAAGTAATGAGTTTAAGTGTCCTATGGTGTCTATGGAGCCATTTCAAAAGGATCTTGTCTATTGTAGTGAGTGCCCCACTATTATAAAAAAAGGACTATAGACATCTAAAAAACGTTTTCCGATTTGATACTCTAAATCGTGCAATACAGCTATGTCAGAAGGAAATAAATCCTAAAACAAAAGATGATAGTAATCCATTAAATAGAAGCTCACATACCTTATTAAACTTTGATTATCAAACAATTTTGTTGTTCCAATGCTATTCATTGATTCTGAGCTTACATCGAAAACATGACAATAGAAGGACAAAGGTAGTACATTAAATCAATCAGAAGCAGCTAACTACAAGAGTCAATGATTTATTGTTTATTATTGTCCTAAAATTTTATATGTTAAGTTCTTCATTTATATGTTTTACGAATTTGTATTCATATAAATGAAAAAAATTACCTCCTCCTATTCATCTTACTTGATTTGTTTTTCCTATCCAAGTCCTAAAAAAAATCAACGACAAAAAGATATTTTGAATAATAAATCCTTTTTTATTAGTTTTTCATAGTTGAATGCATTTTTCCATTTCACTTTTTTTGTCTAGTTTTGACTTGATCCTGAGTTGAACCAAATTAATATGATTTTTGACACTTGTTATCTTATGTTGACGATGTAAAAATGTAACAAATTATTCTTTGATCTTGTGGCTTTAAATATTTGACATGGAAAATCAAAACTATATCGTTGTCCTAAAATGAAAAAAGACATAACCCCCCTGTCCAACAACAATTGTCAAGTATTGACTTTGCACACTTATTAGAAAACTATAAATAGAAGGGTAATTTTACTATATTAGCCTTCAGATATAATTAATATACTATCTTGAAAATGTAATATAGAAATTATTATAACTAATAAGAAGAATAAAGTAGGAGAACTACATTCAAATAATCCATTGTTTTCATAAAGTGAACATGTATTGTTAGATATCCCACAGTATTATAGTGGAAAACTATAGTTGGACAAAGGGAGTGTTTTAAAATAAACTAAATAGAAATATAAGAAATCAAATTAAAAAAGAACAAAATAATAACTTCAACATTTTAGGTGTAAAGCCACATAAAATCAAGACAACGCTTGTTACGTGTTGCCTAAACTATTCAAGGCTAAAATTTAAGTTTTTAGCTTTTTACTAAGATAATATTTGCAACACTAATAAAATGTTCTCTTTAGTAGTATAGGCTAAACTTTATAAGCATTGTCACATAATGATATAATTGGCCACACCTATTCATGTAAATGACTACACTTTCAAAGTGAGCTATTTTTATAGTCATAAAAACAACACTTACCAAGTGGGGCCGTATAGTTTTCACTACATTATTTTGTTACCTCCAACAATTTAACTATCCCTCAAATTTTCCCTTGTCCTCAAAGAAAATTCATAAAGAATAAAAAAAAACTCTCCAAAGTCTCTAAAAGAGATTCTAGTTGCCCTAGATCTGAATTTTTTGAAGGTTTTGTAAGAACATATTTTCTCCCAAACTAATAGGTATTTATTGAATCAACAAGTAATTATTTTTAACTAAACAATTGAAGAATGATTTGAAAATACTTCTATGATTTTCACTATCTTTTGAGATACAAAAGTTTTTAAACAAAAGCTCTTTTACCTCAACTGTCATGATTTTCTCTTTGTTTGTTGGCCTCAAACGAAAGTCCCTTACAATTTTTTTTTGTTCACAAGGGACAGAGCAATGAAGTTGATACCGTAAAGTTTCATCACATCTAAAGGGTGTTGTTGGAATAGAGTTTATCAGGTAAATCTACCTTTAAAAGTCTTACTTTGTTGCATCTAGGTTTATTTCGTGGTGTAGATTTTGATTTTCTTGTGTTTTTGATTTTTGACATTCTAGCATATAGTAGTATTACACCCATCTGGTGATTCTTTTGTTGTGGTAAATAGCCATTAATAAAGCATGAGAATTTCATTTTTTCTTTTAATTGATAAGCAAATTATGATTGAAATCATCCATGTGAATGTAGGTTTTCATGTCATGCTTATTTGTAGAATGTTGTTTCTGCTTCGCTTTTACTAGTTTATGAATCCCGAGCTTCTTAAATTGACTAGAATGGATTTTTTCTTGTAGTAGTATACCATCTTGGGCACTTCTTGATTAATTTAATCAAACTTGAATAAATAAGTTTGTGAAGAAAACGTCAAATTTTCCAAATTGATGATTAAAGAAACATTTAGAAATTTAAGTTATCCAAAGTGTCCCTACTATGTATAGTTACAAGCCTGAAAGTTGAGCAAGTAGACAAATCTTCAAAGAAAATGTGTGCCTCAATTTTATTCTCTCTGAAGTAAATGTGATCAAGAACTTTGGAATATGAAATAAGTGAAATCAACTAGTTTTGAAAGTTTTCTAGGTAATATATGGTCCCTGGGTAAAGTTATGAAGCCCCTTTTGTATATAAATGTATCAACGAAATCAAAAAATGATCTTTATAGAGTTGGGTTAAAGTGTCTTTGTTGTATGGGGTGGACTTATAGCCAGTTAAGAACTCCATTGTTAAGAAGTTTTATGATGTAGTAATGTGGATGTTGAGATGGGTGTGTGGGTATACAAAGAGTGATAAAATTATCTATAGAATATTTTTTATATTTAGGATAAGGAAAGAGTAAGCTCCATGGGGGACAAGATGAGGAAAATAAGGTTGGGATAATTTGTACATGTGAAAAGAAGATGCACAAATTCCCTATTAAGGAGATTCAAAATGTCCAAGTTAGGAGGTTTAAGAGGTTCAATATATTAGATATGTAAAGGCAGATCAAAAATGAATTTGGGTGAGGTATTACAAGTCTGGGAAGTATTCATTACATGAAGGATTTCTCTTTTGCATGAAGAGCATATAGTATTTAAAGAGATTATGAAAACCAATAGAACCAATAAAAACGATTGTGATGTTTTAGTTACATAATATAGGAAAAGATTATCATTATGTTTTAGGATTTTTAATCATAGTATGAATGTATGATGTCCATGTTATTAACGGTATTTATGAATTTTGTTAATTTAGTCAACTCTAGTAGTGTACATATAATAGGATTAGTACTATTGTGGTAGACAATATTTTTAGTGACTACTCTAGTAGGTGAGTTTTATGGGTTGTATCTTTTTCTATCTATTGAATATTTCTTGAATATAAATTTGGTAATATTATATGTGTATGAGTTGAATTTAATATTGTAATAACTTGTTCAAATTAGGAAGTTGTTCTTTAATTAGTTCAAAAAAGGAATTGTTTTCTTTCTTCTTTATCTTTGATAGGTATTTTCTTCTTCATTAATTACTTAAAAATATCTAGAATGTCTAAGGGATTTGAATTTTGAAATTCGGGTTCATGTTAATATTCAAACCTGATTCGGAAGAAGATGATCATTTCAAAAATAGCCTGATTCGTGAAAATTATGAAGTGGTTATAGTAAATTCCTCTTCTTATCTGTAAAATTTTAAGGAGATTTTGTGGATTATATAGGGGACTTCCAACTAGATTTTGTCAAATAATTGAGAAAAAATCTGAGAATCTTGAAGAACAATGCTTAAATTCCAGAAATTTTAGAAATAACCAAATTCGTGTTGTGATTACTTTGTTGTCTAGGTTAAACATTTCGTATTTTAATTCGTGTTTTTTCTTATTCTTCTCTTGCATTTTATAGTTAGGTTATAATTAATGTTATTTCATTCTAGCGTTATCTAGCTAGTTTTACGTTTATATTTCATTTTATTGCAATTTGTTTCATGGTTTTCTCTTTTAGCTGTGTTATGTGTGTATCTTATTCCATGTTTGATATTGTTTTTTCCTCTGTTAGTGACATAAATTCCATTCTGAACCAATACTCTTAAGCTTGTATTGATCTTATTTGATATTGTAGAACTATGAAGAGACGAAGGATACCCTTTAGTGATGAAATCATTTGAGTCTGGGTCTATAGCATGTGACTTTGAGTCTATACTCCAGTGCAAATAAAAATGAGTGCAATAATTTGAGTGCTACAAGTGAGATAGTCACTTGTGCGGTTTATATTTTAACTAACAATTTTTTGGTGTTAATTATGTCATAAACTGTTGCACTTCTTATAGAGATTATTGTGAATAATTCTATAATAATTATAGTAGTGGTTTTACAAGAAAGACAAAACATGAACCTAATGAAAATTTGACTAAAGTTGAAGTTATTGCTGAAGGATACAAGATTAGATGAACTTTTTGTTGAACCTTAGGTTTAGATAAATTGTGTTATATCAACTTCGTGGACCTATCTTTGGTTCAATTACTGGAGATACCTTGAAATATAAAATTGAGAACATTGTAAAACAGAAGAATCTCAAATAGAGAAAGAATGATAAGATCATACGTTTCGGGCGGACCAATTTGGGTGGATAGAAGGTCATAACCAATCAAAAAACTGAATTCCTATTAATGTGCACTATATATGTGAATCTTGTGGTTTGTCTTGAACTTATATGGTTTTAAATTTTGATACATTTGATAGGAAACCCAACTCTCTTCTTCAAAGATTTTGAGAAGTCTTCCTAGATTCAATGAAGGCTTCTCCAACACTATGAAGCATAGAGAAGGGTTGTCTCGGAAGCGAAACCAAATCGAAAACCCTATGAGTGCAATAAAAACCACCATATTCACATATATAGTTAAAATTTGTAGAATTTGGGTTTTGGATTGCTTGGGGACATGTAACCACTAAAATTTATCCTCGGGATATTTATGGTGTCCACCTTCTCGAGGTGTATTACTTTCTTCTATTTTATGGTGATCTCATTTTGGTAAAAAGTTAATCCAACATTTCAACTATTTAAAACTTTAGTGATGCCAAGCTAAAAATTGACGTGAATAGTTATTCCAATGAGTCAAATTGTGACGCCTCAAATCCCTTTAAGACGGACAGATACCCTATGCCCTAAAGTCCCAAAGAGAACCAACCTGTAACCTGTGCTTACTATGCATATAACTATAACAATCGTGACAATTTCACATAGGATGTAGCGATACAAACCAACATAAGTAGACCCAAAAGTTATATACAAGACATGGCCGTTGAGGCCACAACTCCTTACGACACAACTGAACTATATACATACATATATTTACAAAGCCTCTAAAAGATAGAAAACCTTAGAGTAGATTGGGACAGACCCTGCCTTACCCTTAACTATGATACAATACCAAAATGAATTAATCGAGGACTCAGTAAGGCTCTGAATCAACCTAGAGTTCAGCAAAGGTAGTGGAGTGTTGTGTGCTCATAATGAGGAGTTCTACTAACTGGAGTACCTGTGCGTGTAACATGAAATGCAGCGTCCCCGGCGAGGGACGTGAGTACGAAAAAAGTATATGGAGTATGTACGACAATAACATATGCAGTATTATGTGTCAAATTTGAAATCAAATACAACATATGAGTGTGTAGATTACGAGCGAAGACCACCTTTGCTTACTCTTGTGAGATCATGTAACTTACATTATTTTCTTTACTTATATTCTATACGTTATAATATTTGTAGTGCATGTGATACAAGTGACAAGCTGATTAGTGGAAGAAGAGGATGACCCATGCTAGGCATTTTACACAAATTGGGATCGGCCCATGCTAGGCTTTCGCCCCTGAGCTGCCCCCCTTCTATACCAATAGGGATAATCCCATGCTAGGCTTTTTCCCCTGAATTGCCACCCTTATGTACCAGTTGGGATTGACCCATGCTAGGCATTTTCCCTGGGCTGCCACCCGTAATTATATAGATTTCTTCACTTAGATTCTTTAATCTTTCAAATTGTTGTTTATTAGTTCATAACTCTTTTGGGATTGTTCTTTGGATATCATAACTCTTTGGAGATGTTGTTTTGGTGGTCATAATCATTTTGGAGATCTGGAAATATGGACCAGTAGTAAATACATGAAAATAATACTTCAAGGGAGTAACAATGACATAAGGAGTTATGTAACATCAAAAAATTACTTTAAGATCTTAATGACACAATCGACTTCAAATAAAAAAGAGGAGGATTTATCAGTCTTGCTTTTGCAAATACCATTTCTATACTAGCACATGGGGGGAGGTAGATAATTACACAAGTATAGAATAGTGAACATATAATGAAGTAGATGTATGCACTAAGGATATGAGGAAATATGGTTAGCTATTTGGAAATAGTATGTTTTCACTATGTTTCATTTAGTAAGAATATAGCTTAAGAGATTCACTTCATTGATATTAATCACAAGTATTAGATTTCATTCAAAGAAATATGGAATCCAATAGCCTTACATACCTTATCCTCTGATCGGTATAAATATCACGATTTATCCTCCCTTTTCGGTTTTAGATCTACAGTTTAAGTCACGGTAAACTAAAATTAGAAGCTATAACACTTTGATCTGAGAACAGTAGCTAGCTTTGACAAGTAATGAGTCCATACAACTCTTAAACTCATGCTATCCCCATACCCTCATTCTCTGACAAATACTTAAATTACATATCCTTTCCCAAGATTAACCATGGTGTACAAACAATAATACACATTGAGCATCACAAAATATTCCTTATCATACAACGAATTCTTGAACTCATCACATCCTTGAGTTCTTCATAACAATACACCCATAATTCCTCACTCAAACTCATACATAAGGAAGGCAAAAATGGAGCAGTCACCTTACCTCAATTTCTACAACTTCTCCTTATAACTTGAATTCTTCTAGAACTTCAACTTTCCTTCACACTTAAACCAAAGAAGAACAAAAGGTATCTTAATAATTAAGGAAGTGAGCACTAGCTTTTGGAAATTTTCTGCTTTTGTACTTATACTTAGCATGTACATGTTTTCCTAATCATCCATGGGAGAATTTAGGTAAATCCAATTGTTTTCACTTACCTTGGTTTGTAGATATGAGAGTTTCTTCAAGAACCCTAGAAGAACTTAAGGCTGCTATTTTAATCTTGAACAGAATAGAGAGACAGATAGAGCTTGAGTTAATTCTCAATATTATGCGTTAATATGGGTGAAAATATCTTATCATATTCAATTTATATGGAGCTTTATTGACCACAAAAATATCCTCTAGAAGCTCCCTTTTTTTGGGTCCATATTCAGCCACTAATTAGTCATGTAGGTGATGCACATGCTTATGTACATCAAATAACTTTAAAGGTCAAATTAGGTGATGCACCTACTTACTTTTACTTGGACTTTAACTATATTGGGCCTTGGCAGATTTGGCTGCTAGGCTTTCTTTCATTTTTATTTTCTTTTAATACATTTGGGCCTCAACTAAGCCCATTAATATAATCCTTCATCAGATCCATCCACATTGGTCCTTTTAACTATATCCAAGTAGCTCAAGAAGGTAATGCAACAGGTAGCTTAATTAAGACAAGCAAGAGCTCAATTATTTTATTCTTTTGTTTGAATATTAATCCATTTTTCTTCAAAATAACACTTAATTTTCAACTTTAAGCTCAATCACCATCTTACTATATCTATTTCAAATACTTTCCATCGGAGTTAACTTGCAATACACATGCTGAAACGTGCAAGGCGTTACATCACCTTCCGAGCTAGTTTAAACGAACACTAATCATATAAGAAACATGATACCTCACGTATACTATAAGTCTATGTCAAGTATCACATGAATAGAACTAGCATGTATTTAATACAGGCTGTTACACAAATGGAATCCTGGGAGCCTATTGCACTCCAATAAATTGAATAAGAGAGAATATAAAGAGAGAAATAATGGAGCGAATAATGGAAACTGAAGATATTAAATAGAAGAGGATAATTTAAAGAAGTTAGGGAGTGGCTACAAGAAAGTTAAAAATATAGTTGAAAAATGAGGATGAATTTTCATAAGAAGAAACGAATACAAGTGAGGAAATTAAGAGAAAACAAGATCATATAAGAGAAAATCTAGAGAGTATGACTAAGAAGTTTTCTTATTCTAATACTAACCTTTTAAATGATTGTTTTTCAAAGGAGGAACCCTCTTGCAAAAGAGCATTCCAATTCATGGACTGAGAACTTCAATCCTTTCAGGAATGAAACTAAGGGAAGGAAGGGGGAATCCGTTTGCACAATGATCTAGAGACAAGAAATTAGGATCTGGTTGGAAATCCACATCCATAATTTTATAAAAGTAGCCTGAGTGTTTTTGCAATGAAATACATTGCTGGTATGCTATTAACAGACTAACTATCCACTAATTACATTCATTGGACACTGCCTGAAACTTCATCAATCATCTATCAGGAAGGAAAGACACTACCTATTTCATTCCCACATCTTTGATCTCCAAGTCTTCTCTCCTAGTTTAGTCTACAGGTAATTTAGATTCCTCATTCCATTTATGCTTCTAACTACAACCTTAATGTCCTCCTCTAGAACAAGCATTCCAAGATAAAAAAGGTACTATAATCAGATGAATGAGATGTATACATATTGATCAGAAAATTACAAGTTAAACTCATACTTGTTGATATCAGTCCCATGAAGCATTTATTTTCATTTACAAAGGCTAATTTAAAATAGTGTTTTACTGATATTTTTTTCAAGATCTTGATGAATAAACTATTTAAATGAGCATTGGTAAGTGAACATGTTGAAAGTCCCTGCCTTATATAGAGAGGAGTAGAAATAAATGTTTCATGCGAATGACACCAACTGGTATGAGCTTGTGTTGTAATTGTCTAATTGATATGCATATATCTCTTTTATCTAATTATAATACCTCTGTTGTCTTAGAATTAAAGTTTCAGAAGGACTTTAAGGCTATTACTTATAAGTAGGAAAGGAATGAGGAATCTAAATTACCTGTAGACTACATTAGGAGAGGAGAAATAAAGATCAAATATGTAGTTATGAAACATGTATTACCTTTCCTTCCTGGTAAATCATTGATGAAATTTCAGTCAGTTTCCAATGAATGGAATCATTGGATAATTAGTCAGTTAGTACCATACCGACAAAGTATTTCATTTTAGAAACTTCCAAGCTACTTTTCTCAAATTGTTGATGTGGATTTCCATTCAAATCCTAATTTCTTGTTTATGGACCAGTCTGCAAATGGAATCCATCTTGCTTCTCTTCATTTCTTCCCTGAAAGGATTAAGACAAACCATGATTATTTGTTTTGTACATATTCTTGAAGAGAACATGATCGTAAAAATGACAACTTAGAAAAGAATGAAATTCATGAATCAATGAAACAAATAAGTATGAGACTTCTTTTGCAAGTGAGAAAGAAATCTTTATTTTATAAAATAAAGATAAATACTGTTCATTATGTACTTATCACAGTAAAAAAGCTTATCCAAACCTTAAGCTATTTCAAATAAACTTGCAGAGACTTGAGTATGAAATTTAAACATCCTCTTAGTGAGGCTGCATTGTATTAATATGCAAATAGAGTGTGACCATCTATTAGTTGCTTATGGTTGTGGATCTTAAATTATCATTGATTGTGATCTTAGATTTTTTGAAGTAACTGTTATGTGAAGTATTGAAAAAATGTGGTACAAAGTGTTTCCTAAAATTCTTGTGATAAAGGTAAATTTACTTCAGCTTTAGCTTCTAAGAATACTGAAAATGTGATTAGTGATAAATGCTTCTTTCCTAGTGAAATTTATTGATACAATTCTTTATCTTGTAAGGAGATGTATTTTTTTATAGTCCTCTTGAAATTGAGCATTAAAATTGTTATGATATGCTTTTTAGTCTAAGGAATGTCAAAATATCAAAATATTTTTACAATCATTTATTTTTGTACAAAATTCAAGATGATTCAAAAAGTGATTGAGTTGTCCTATTGTTTGTAGTGTTATTCACATAGATTCAAAATAAAAAATTGATTTAAATATGTGAACAATTTTGATGAAGTCCAATTGAACGACTCATTCCCTTTTTATTAGTTTTCATTTGATAAAATTGATCAGATACATTGCATGCAATTGACGCAATGTCTATCTGTTATACTATAAAGATTATATTTTAATTGAATTATATTTTAGTTTAAACACAACTTTTGAAATATATATTAAACAAGAATTATAGTGTATATCATATGGTGAACCCACTGTATTTATTCCTTACGAATACTTACTGCTAGCTCTTTTTTTAATGATCTTTATTATCAACTATTTGAGATTTGATAGCATGTTTTTACCATGTAAAACAATTAACACTCATTCATGAGAGAATTCCTTCACTTTTTGTTAATAATATGAACGATAACAAAAAAAATAAACAAAAAATTCATGTACATCATGTTCAACAAAAAATGTCATTTCTTTAGCATCATTATTAAGGATATATTCATCTTTAAATAAACTATTAATATGTTTGCATTTTTCAATAAGTTGTAACTTCAAGCTATGTCTTTCCGTTACGATGAAACTGTTTCTTTCTAATATGCTTCAAATAAATTGTTTGTTTTTTGTTTTCATATTCCTATGTTTTTGTTTGTTTTTAATTATCTCGACTACGCTGCAGGTCAAGATAAGATTACATATTGATAGGAGTATGCAATATTTGTCATTATTTCATTTTATTGTGGTAATATTTTTTTCCCATGTATTCTTTACAATGATTTCCCTAATATTTGTGATGTTTCCTTTACTTTTGTTTTCTCATTTTATATTTGTTTTGATATGCGTTCTTGAGTTGAGAATTTTATTAAATTAATTTTTTACCATTACCAAAGTGGACTCATGATTTCAACTATTCATATTGTTAATGAATATAATATTATTAGGTATAATTGATTAAAAACTATATGCACAATGAAATCATGCCAAAATCATAATGCATATATGAATGATAGATAACTAATAATGTTTATGCTAGAGCCCATAAAATTACTGATATTTAATGCAAGAATTAATGAAAAACCACAAGTTAAACAGACATTCAAGGGAATCCAACAAGATAGGCAGTAACTTTGCATCTTCTACAAAGGTCCCCAGTTCACATCCAAACTCTCTCAATATTTGGGTGGACAAATATTGAATAGAAAACTGATTACTTTTCTAGGTTAGAAGAACCCCTATTTATAGAGATTTCCTTCTAGTCCAAAAGGGATAAAAAAGCCACGCTTTTCTTGAAAATAAGAAAACACACATTATTTTGTTTGTCTTTTTCTAGAAAATAAGATTCTGAGTTCTAGTTAAGTACATATACTCTATCGACCACAGAGTTATTTACCGCAGCTTACTATTACGAAAATAATTCCAAATATTTACTTTTTATTGTTTATACCATAATATATATAAATCATTCCACTAGAAATTTATGATTACTATGCTCTTTTTGTTTTTTTGAAATTCCCCATTAAACAGTTATGTGATTCCCCATGTTAAGTTAACAAATAGCAATCAATAAATTAAATTACTAACGATTAATTTCCTTTACAAAAATATTTTACTTATTTAATATATCAATTCAAAAATCCACTTGCAAGGTTTGACACAATGAAAGATATAAGCTTCTCCTAAAAGAAATTTTATAAATCTCTATATCGAGACATAAATTTTTATCAACTAACTTATTATTTCACAAATATATATTATTATAATCAAATCTATCAGGTATATTGAAGCATCTCAACATCTCACCTTTTAATAAATCAAAATTACATTTAATATATACATATCATAATAATTTTATCTTTTTACTAAATCTTCAAAGTATTTAGTTTGCACAAAAACAGTTTGTGGGTCTATTTTCTAGGTTAGTGGGTTTATGTTATACATAGTCAATGAAATTATCTTCCTTTTGTAGTGTACCATGTCAACAACTTTTCCATGTTTTCCATTATTTCTGTGTTGCTTTATTTAAGCTTTAGTAGTTAATTGTAAGCCTATAAACAACAATAAGAGTTTTTGAATTTTTGAAGCAACAAAGTTTTGCACTAAAAAGAAACCTTCTGTCTCTCAAAATCTTTCATATATATGTTGCCTTTTTTCGTCCAACAAATTTGGTATCAACGCCAATTTAAAGAGTTACAAGAGAATAAAATTTTAGCTCCCAAAATACCAAACCAGATAAACAATGGTAGAAACCTCTAACAAGAACTCCCAATATCTTACAATTTTCAAAGGCATGAATTATAATTTTTTGAGTCTTAATATGACGACTCTCTTCAGGTATCAAGAGCTGAGGGATTTGGTGGAGTGTGGATTTATAAATCCTCATGAAGGTCACGTAGAACGACTAAAAGAGAATCGCAAGAAAGTCTCGAAGGAAAATTTCCTGATTCAACAAGACCTTCATGATTCTATTTTTTCCCGAATTTCAGCAGCATAGTATTCTCACAAAGCCTAGGAAATCCTCTAACATGAGTATATGGGAGATAGGAAGGTAATCGCTGTAAAATTGCAAGCTTTCCGTCGTGATTTTGAAACTTTACTTATGAAAAGTAATGAATTTGTTCAAGATGATATGTCTAGGGTTTCTTCCATTGTTAACCTCATGAAGTAGTATGGGGAGAATATTGGTTATGAACCTTTTGTTGCTAAGGTATTGAGATTTTTAACAAAAAAAATTTGAGCATGTGGTTGCTGCTATAGAAGAAACCACAAATTGATGTGATTATTCATTTGATGAATTAGTGGGTTCTTTATTATTTCATAAAGATATGATAGTCAAGTCATATTTCAAAGGAAAAGAAAAAGCATTCCAGGTGAAATTGGATCCATTTTTCTCCAAAGAAAAACCCTCACATTTTTCTTGCAAAGGTAGAGGAAGAGGCGGATTTCATGCCCGAGGCCGATGGTGCAGTAGAGGAAGAAAGGAAATTCAATGACACTCGTCAACTCACGAGTGACATTCAGTGCCAGCATTCCAAGAAGATCGGTCATACTGAAACATATGGTCAGACTAAGTTAAAGGACGGACATAATCATGAAAATTATTGTGAGCACACTGAGAATGGAAGTAACCTTTAGATGGATCATTCTTCAATTATTCACATAACTGATAATGTTTTGGTTTAATTATAGTGGATGCTCGAATCATAGGACTTTGTGATGACAAACAAGTTTGAGTTGAAGGCAAAGGAACTATAGCCTCCATTACAATGTAGGGTAATGTAAAAAACCTTTGTGATGTGCAACTAGTTCTTGGTTTGGCATATTAAGAACATGTTTCTTCTTAATTTTTCAAGTGTGGAAAATAATTCGTTAATTGCTATAGCTGTTAATGAAACTAAACTTTAGCATCATCGCTATGGTCAATTGAACATTAATGGGCTAAAATTACTGACTAGGAAGAAAATGGTAGTTGTTTTACCAGAAATGGGTTATCTTGATTTATGTGAAAGTTGCATCTTCATGACACAGTACAAAATCGTTTCCTGTAGGAAAATTAGGGAGAGTTTCACATTGTCTTGAGCTTATACATGCCAACCTATGTGGACCAATGAAGACTGAGTCACTTGGTGGGAGTCGGTATTTTCTTCTATTTAGCGATGATTATAGCCGTATGAGCTGGGATTATTTTCTCAATTTGAAATTATAGGCATTTGAGAATTTCTGGAAATTCAAGGCACTCATGGAGAAGCAAACATGCTGCAAAATTAAGGCTCTTTGGACAAACCTTGGTGCTGAATTTTTATTTAATTATTACACTTTATCTTGTGAAGAGAATGTAATTTGAAGGGAGCTTACCACAATGTACTCTCCAACAAAAGTAGTTTCGAATCAAACTCCATAGGAAGCATGGACGAGGTGGAATCCACGTGTAAGACACTTTAAAGTTTTTGGTTGTATAGCTTATGCTTTGGTTAGTTTATGTTCTAAGTTATATAAGAAATTACAGAAATGCACTTTCATTTGTTATAATCTTCAATCCAAAGCATATAGACTATATAATCCTACTAGTGGCAAAGTTATTATCACCAGTAATGTTGTATTTAATGAAGAATCAGCCTGGGAGTGGAATGACTTGGAAGAAGATTCTATCATACATATTAGAGTTCATACAAAAGTAGGGCATACATGGATACTTGAAACAACAAGTTCTGATCTTTCCTCACTTGGTAGCAGAAATACTGACAATGCTGCCTCTGTACGTTGCAACTCTACTCCATCAAGATCTCCTTTTTCACCTTCATTATCATCTAGAGAGACGTAACCAACTATGTTTCGGTCACAGGAAGATATTTATGCATCTGTAGCTTTAAATATTAGCTTCTGTTCTTAAATGTGATGTACAAGCTGCAATGTAACAAGAGTGGCAGGATGTGATGATTGAAGAGATTTAGGCTATCGACAAAAATACACCTAGGAGCTAGTCGATTTGTCATAAGGGATGAACTTTATCAGGCTAAAATGGATTTTCAGAATAACGTACAATGCTGATGGAAGTGTCAAAAGGCATAAAGCTCCACTTGTTGCAAATTCATACTTTCAACAACAAGACATCGACTTTGAGGAGTCATTCTCACCAGTAGCTCTCTTTGAAATGGTTAGAGCTACTCTAGCCTTGTTTTCTAACCTTGGTTTGCATATATACCAATTTGATGTTAAGTCTACTTCCCTGGCGAAGTACAAGAAGTTTATGTTTTCCACCCTGAAGGCTTCATTTTTAGTTAAAGGAAGAGCAAAGTATACATAATGAAGAAGCTGTTGTATTGATTAAAACAAGCACCACGAGTATGGTATAGCAAAATTGACTTCTTTTGTCAAGAGCAACAGTTTAGAAAAAGTGAAAATGAACCTCCAGTTTATGTGAAGAAGCGAGGTAGCTTGGATGATCAGAGAAGCACATTTGTGAATGTTTTTAGTCTTGGCTCAGGAGAAGGCCTATGGAGTTAAAACAAACAAGATATGATAGCTTTGTCATTTTCGGAAGTAGAATACATGGGTGCATCTTCAGTATGTTGTCAAGCTGTTTGGTTAAGGAAACGGTTAGAAGAACATCAACAAGAGAAGATCGGTCAAACTTAAATATGGTCTAACAACAAGGCGACAATTGCTACGACAAAAAATCCAGTTTTTCATAGTAGAATGAAGAACATCGAAACTTGTTATCACTTTATTCGCGATTTACTCACTGGTGGAAAAATCTCACTGATATTTTGTTGAACAAATAATTAGACTGGTGATATTCTTACGAAGTCTCTGCGCCGCAAGAAGAATGACTTCTTCAGACGACAAATGGGATTTTGTGATTTTGTTGAAAGGGAGAGTGTTGACTAATTCTTCAAAATATTTAGTTTGCACAAAATCAGTTAGTGGGTCTATTTTCTAGTATTAGTGGGTTTATGTTTTACTTAGTCAATTAATTTATCTTCCTATTGTAGTGTACCATGTTTACCACTTCTTTCATGTGTTCCATTATTTGTGTGTTTCTTTATTTTAAATTTTGTAGTTAATTGTAAGCCTATAAAATGGCAGTAGGAGATTTTTAATTTTGAAGCAATAATGTTCTGCTTGAAAAAGATACATGTTATCTCTCAAAACTCCTACATTTACTTTTTGCCTTTTTTCATCCAACATATGGGGATTAAAAAAATAAGTTTACTTAATAGTTTAGAGAATAAGCTTTTGTAAGTAAGTCTAAAATAACTATCTTAGCTTGGTACCGTTCAATGCATACAAAATACATAAACTAGCGTAAGACATTGCATCTTCATCGTTCCTATAATAATTATAAATTATATATAATCTTGTCCTACAATATTTACGATGACATGTCCTATTTCAACCTAGAATGTGAATAGAAAATATTATGCCTATATGAATCGATGGTTTACTTCTCTGTATATAAACTAAAAGTAGAGTTCAATTTTTTCTTTGATAAGTGTAAAGGTACAATATAAAGTGTTTATTGAATGTGTGAGGTCCCCATGTGGGGTAAGTATCACTGAAATGCCAATTCAAGGAACGTAGAAACAACGAGCATGTAATAAAATGTGGTAACACATTGAGAAGCTTAACGAATGCTATAAAAAGTAAATAAATGCAATAAAAATATAAATATATTCAAGAATAAAGTAGTGTGATAAAAGAATGTTGTATTGATAATCTAGGAGAAAGGTTTGACATATATGAAATTTATTTTAGACAGTGAAATATGAGGTAAATTATGTAACATAAATAAATAGAAAAGAATACTTGAACATATGAAGAAACAAATGAAAAAGATCTAATCATGAAAATAAAATCCAAAATCTAATAAAAAGGAATAATTATGAAAATGGATACAATGCATGTAATATATTAATAAATGTAATAACCAAAGAGACAAAATTGACATAAAGATATATGTAAAAAGGAAAATAAAGATTGTATCAAATCAAAACTTCCCCAAAATTAGTTTTCAAGACTCTCCAGGTAGTTTATATGAACATGCCCTCTTTCCATTGTTTAGAGCATTCCTGTAGAGACCCCAAGACATTTATGAATTGTTGGTAGTATGATCACTTGGTCATTTGTTTGGTTTTTAAGCAAGTATTGATGTTTTTATGCAAGGTACTCCTTTGTGAAACTTCTCGGTGATATGCCGACTACTTAACTCGAACGCCGATTTGATCATTCCTTTAGGGCTCAACAAACTAGAACAAAAGGCGATTTTCAAAACTATCGGCGATCATTTGGCCTTCATTTCATTGTTCTTTTCATCCTTTTTGCCACGTAGCATCCATGATTTGCCTCAAACATAAAATACCTAAACACAAGGTTATTCATTATTAATTGAAACTAAACAAGCAATTAAGGACACTATTTCTATCAAAATATAGACCTAATGTGTCCAATCTGTGGACTCATCAATTGATAGCTGACCTGTTCGGTGAAGCCCGACGTCTCTCGCCCAATGGCTTTTCAGTCCAAAAATTGGTCAACAATGAATTGAAATTTAAACCTAAGATTTATTATCATTGAATCTTGAGGATACTCAGTAGTGTTGTTCTTAGTTTTTGAGCTCCATTGTAGACTTTGAAGGTTTTTAGACTCAAACTTAAAATTTTCAAGTGGATTTATTTTATTTAAATAATTTTTTGAACATTCTAAAGGCTTGGAATTCTTACCAAGTTGTTGGCTAATCGATGTTGTAAGTGTTTTTTTTTATGATGTTTAGTATAAACCCCAACTCTTGGGGTGTGATATGTGATTATTTTCTTAATTTGCTTAAGGGTAGTGTTGTTTAATTATTATTTTACTATTTTAATTTGGGTTTGATCATTAGTTGTATATGAATTTATCAGTTGTAATTTAAAATATAATTCTAGCCTAGAGTTCTTTCCTTGCTTAAGAGAGGGACATTGGAACCAAATCTTTTGATTAATAATTGTAGGTATTGAGTTGATGTGGGTTCAGCTCGAGAGTGTGAATACTAAACCCAATTCTACCTGTCTTTCTCGAAAGAGTGGATATCTTAAGGTTGACCATTGTTTATCTTGTTAAGCGTGTCGATATTTGAGAGAAATACCTGAATCATTATAGTTGTTTCAGAGAAAGCTACTACACTTATAATCCATCCTACCCATAATATTTCAACAAATTATTTTTAAATGTCGATTATCCATATTGCATAATTAGATTATAATCAATAAAATCCTAAGAGTTCTATTTTATATTATTATTTCCTTTGTGTTTTATTGTTTTTTAATTGATATATGACAATCCAAACCCCATCTGAAATTCGTTGTAATCCTCTTAGACTTGCTTACATATAGTTTTTGATAAATTTTATTCCTATAACCGAATAGACCACCTAATAACTTTATAACTAAAATTTAGACACGTACCACTCATTGTCTGTGCGACCCCAACCCTTCGTATGGTTTTATAGTAGTTAACGATCTTTAAATCTGGAATTGGATGAAGTGTACTTAAAACATTAATAACTAGGGAAACCCTTTTTTATATGGGAGACACTACGGTTCATGTTATAACTTACATGGTCTCAATATCTGTTAAGGCAAATTCCTAAAATTATAATTAACTACGGTTACTTCAAAAACTATCTCATGTGTTTTCAAAGGTTTAAAACGATGTTACCTAGAAATGACCCTGTTGTATGACTTTTGTTTTCTAACCCTGTTATATCATGTTTTAGCTTGGTAAAATGGATGTCATGAAATGTACTCTTTTAGCATGATTTAAATATTTATGCATATCGATAATATTTGGCATAATATTTTGTACTAACACATAGCTTGATCAATTACACTTCAAGTTTCTAAGTTTTGTGGCTAGTTGTTGATTGCAAGGTTCCCGAGCTTCTTTGTGTCCTCATGCTTCGAGGATGGTATTTTATTTTTCAATTTCTTTCTTATTTTTTGAGTTTTGGACATGATTTCTGGGCTAGGATCAATTTCATTTAGTTGTATTAGTTTGCTATTGAGACAACTGTTTTAGACTTTCGTTTTTCTTTTATAAAAGCTATTGGACTTGAACTGTTATTTTACTCCTATCGATCTATTTCTTATGTTATTTATGCTAAGTGTCTGGTATGGTGTATTTCTGGGTCGTATACGCTATGTTACATCTAGGGGTACCCTTGGGTTGTAATATGTATATGATGTATGGGTTACGTCCGAATCATTCTTTGATGTAATGGATGTCTATGAGACTTTGGTTGACTTCTTCTACTTTTTGAAAAACTTTTGATATAAAGCTTACCTTTGAATTGTTGAAATACATTATCTTGTATGATTTATGCTAAGTAGCTTGTGTAGGGATTTTCTGAGTCTTTTACACCATGTCACATCTAAGGTGTAATTTGGGTTGTGACATTCAGCCAAATTGACCATACCATAATCCTCACCCAATTACAAGTGTAAAAGATCCTTGATATCTTAAAAGAACTAGGTTGTGTGATGATTTGAAAATACGGGGAAACATATTTCTATCAAGCTTGAGTATATTTTTCTTTTAAGATATTGTGAGTTGC